CACTGGGAGTCTGACTGACAGCACTGTAAACCCTGGAGTGGATCAGGCCGCTGCGCACTGGGAGTCTGACCAGCTTAGAGCTGCGTATGCCTCTGTATTTAATTTGCAGGAGCAGCAGAGTTAACAAGGCTGTCAGAATAACTAAGCAAACCATATTTGGTCAAGTTTATCACGGGACATCATAAAGCCTTTCGCCCCCTGAACCGAGACAACAGTCGAAAAGCCTCCGGGAATCCCGTATCACTGTTCACTGGAAACCAAAGCAGCGCCTGTAACAGCAGCGACAGAAGCGATCCCAGCCCGCAGTATCTCTAGTCCGCGTACTGACAGCCCTGCTCGGCACTGAGCCGTGTAACCACCACTTTACTAATCAGACTAACAGTCCGGCACAGGCAAATCTGCTTCAGATGAGCTCTCACGGCGAATCCGCCAGCTAGCGGGACGCCCTGACCCCAACGCCAACAGACCGGCTGCCGGGGCTCGGACCCCACCCCCCTCACGCCTCTCGCTCTCCGGTATCACCGCGTCCCCGGCGGCTCCTACCTGCGCTCATGTCTCATCGCTGCCGGCCGAACACGCTCTCCGCCGGCTCCAGCGTCGGGGGTGACGTCACCGCGCCGCCCCGGCCTCCGCTCCCACGGCTTCTTGGGAAATGTAGTTTTTTTAAAGTTTCGATAGAATAAAAGGTTATAAATGAAAGGAGGCTATTTGACCCATTTAGCCCTGCCCGCTTGCTAGGTAGCAGTTCATCGACTGCAGGATTTAATCCAGCTGAGGTTCAGCTTCAGCAACATGGCCAGGCAGCTTCTCCCAGGATCCCAGTTTCAGTGAAGTCTTAAACATTACCCAGCAATGGCTTAGTAAAAAACACCCCTGTTGAGGGTACACAGCCGGGCCGACAGACACACACAGGGGAATTAACCCAACCCCCCCCCGTCTCTGGGCGATGGGAGATGGACCAATGAAACCTGTGTCCAGACCGAGACGTGCTCAGGGCTTGTCAAACCAGGGCACAGCTCTCCTGGCTCAGTGCACGAGCCCCGTTCACTCTGCCACTCAGACTGACGGACACAGGCCAGAGAAATCCAGCCACAGCTCTTCCTGCGCCTGCCGGTTGCTCACGGGCCCCGAGCTCACACAGCCCAGAGACTGGTCTCCACCCAGGAAGAGTTTTATACAGCTTGATTTCAGAGTCACCCCGTTACTGTGTGCGTGCGGGAGCCCTGATGCACACGCATGCGTGCCACACGCACACGTGTCACACACGCCAGGCAGCTGGCAGGTAACTGGACACAGACAGGCCAACCTGCACACACCTCTCCCCACCTGCTCCCAGGCTGACAGCAGGACGGCCGTGCGCCAGGCTGGGCCTCAGGCACACTGTAAACACACACAGGCCAGGCCAGCTGCAGGCGGACACAGGGCCCCACGCTGGCAGCAGAGAGATGGACACTCTGATTGGCTAACATTGAAGTCACACGCAAGTCTGAACCCATCGCAGAACAGGGTCTCATGTTTGTAGTCCTGATAAAATATCCCACACAAACCTGCTGTTCCATACAGACTCCAGCAATCCCATTTAATCAGAAACTGTTTATTCCCACCTCCCATTCTGTACAGCATCATGCAATTCTCTACAGCACACTCCGGCGCCCCCTGCTGGGCTCAGCTGGAGTGGTTAAGGTGTACAGGTCAGTACAATTCAAAGATAATTTAGGGGCCAGGGGTGGATTTGTGTCGACCCCTTCAGGCCACAGCTGACTTCTTCTCTTTGTAGGTCGCCATCATTTTTTTTATCTCTGCTATCGCCTTCCCAGGATTCAGGCCCTGCACCAGAGAGAGACAGCATCTTACACTGCAGTCAGGAGCATCACACTGGGAACCATACATGACAATTCACCTGTTTTACAAGGCATTACAGTGCTCTGAGGAAGGTGCTGGGGCAGTACAGTGGACTACAGGGCAGGTGCTGGGGCAGTACTGTACCTTGGGGCAGGTCTTGGTGCAGTTCATGATGGTGTGGCACCGGTACAGGGAGAAGGGGTCCTGCAGTTTGGACAGGCGCTCCTCTGTGAAGTCGTCCCGAGAGTCGATCATCCAGCGGTACGCCTGGCGAGTCAAAGACACCAGCCCAGTGACACCAGTTACACCAGTACAGCAGCACCAGCACACAAGCCCCACATTCAGATCCACTCCAGGCTTTACCAGCAGTGTATCTCTTACCCAGATGTAGTGATAAAACAGCAAACATGTATAAAGAGTATTTTTAATTGATCTCAAAGCATCTGTCTGTGCAAATTTACTCCAGACTAATCTCTGGAACCCTGGGCTGCCCCTGTGCCACAGTCCCACCGCAGGTGAAATCTGTGGCGAATCAGACTGTTCTCCTGCGGTGCATCAGACAGCCCCCTCCTGCTGTCCCATCGCTCCCAGTCCCAGCCCCCTCCCTCCTGCTGTCCCATCG